ACTCGGAATGTGTCTAGAACAATATCTTTGAACGCAAACAATAAGAATAGGAGCAATCGTCATCATCCGATTTGGTATTGGTATAAGCCATGCATCCCTCCTCCACTCACAGTTGCAGAATCGATTGAAAGGTGTTATATGATGGGGACCTTCGAACGAAACTGTATTGTAGTAGACATAGTGTGTTGTGCTATTCCTGTAACCTAAAAAACAACTTCATTTGCCCAGCGCTTTTTCTTCACGGTTGTCGTTTTTCCGACAGGGTCCCTAACAACAGCGTCATTCTCAGCGAGGTATTAAGGGAGAAGGAGCGAGTGATAGGCGGAGGAGGTGCCTTTGCAGCGCGTGCGCACATGTGGCAGTCTCTCTTTGCGGGGATGCACTTTCATTCTTTGTACTGCCTTCAAATACGCCCTTCTCATGAAGGTGGAGGAATGGAGCGACTGAACCTGCAAAGAAAATTTAATATCATGTTTTTTTCGGATGTTTTCATTTTCTGCTGCGCTATACCCTATTACCTATCTGCACCATGATACCACTTCTGTTACTGACCCCCAAGAGTACGACCCCCCATGGACCAGCCCAACAGGTACGACCCCCCTGTCGAGGATTTCCTCGACCGATATTCACCCTGGTCGTGGTTGGTTGGGGTCGGTCAATGACAAGACCAAATTAAAGGGAAGGGGATCGTAAAAAAATTGAAATCCGAAAGTAAAGGGAGGGTCCCCACCCTGCCACAAGCAATTTGTCAATCGTTGCGTAAAAGCCAAACAAAGGAGAATCCAGTGGAAACTGATGCGGACGTCTTCTCACACACATATATGAAATCAGCACTCGGGATCTGTGGTGGACCATTTAGCCATAGCAGCTGCTATTTCTATAGGACGGGGAATGCTGATGAAGACGGGGATAATTTTCGCACATCTCGTCCACACCAACGCTGTAATATTGACGTCAAAGCGGTGACTCAGCAATCGAGCAGTTCTCGCATCTGCTGAGAAGTCACCAACGAAAAACTACGAAGGCCACTCAGCAGCAGCACTATCGTGTGTTGCTCAACTTTTTTCAAACAAATCACTCGCGATGCCTTATTGGTGATAAAAATGAACCATTCTCTGGTAACTCCAGGGTATGGAAGACGTAAAGGAGTGCTAATATTGAATGCGCCCTCACACACATAATCGGAGGGGTTCCTAGGTTCGGGGCTGTAGATATAATGAGAACCGTGCACATACGTTTTTTTTGTTAAAAAAGCGAGAATCATAAGGGCACTCGGCTCTGATTACCACAATTTTCGGAACGCGCCCTGTATTCCACACCCATTCAGAACCATGGGTTTTTCGAAACCAATTCGGACTTTACAATGAATTGTATTGTGGATGACGTTTCAAAATCACAGTAAGTTCATTCCTCGCGTCGCCGTTTGGCACCATCCACCGACCCTGCATCGGATGGAGATAGGTTCACTGACACAGCGAGCCTCGACAGTTAGTTGATCTCGTCGTATAGTCTCCACTTGCCAATTACAACAATCCTGTCCTTGTAGTGCGAAGGTTGTCTCTAAAAAAGTCATGGAAAACGCATTTGAAAAAGAAAGTCTAACCGAGAACTCGATCACTTTTTCTTCAAGATTTTAGAAGTGGTCAAAATGTTGTGCCTCATTATATGCACGATAGAATCCATATCATGTGTTTTTACTTGTAATGTTTCTTCTGTTCGATACAATTTTGGCCCCGCCCTCTGATATGTCTATCGAATGAATGCAGCTGCAACTTCTTGAAGTGGAAGTATTGAAATCTGATCCTCCGCTCCACCCACACTAACCACAAGCTGTCCACTTACATACTTCATAGAAGTGGGTAAATGACAAGTGATTGTGCTTCAATTACTTATCGATAATAAAAATGAACAATAGCAATAATTAATACGAAGTTATACGACATCATTTAAAACATTGTGGGGCGGATGGGGGGGTAGGGGAGGCAGGTTTTAGTCAATAAAAGAACTCTATCCATCCAATCAGACCTCACAGCTAGCATGCTGATCATGAGCTTGATGCTCCCCTTGGCTGATGGATTAGCTGGCTGACGCATCGTGAATGATGGCGCCACCTGCTGCTTCGAGTCATTGATCCAAATAATTTTTCATGCCTTTCAAAAACCTTTAGACACTCGAAATCTCATGTAGAAAGGGATAAAGTATCTGCCGAATGAATCAACCCCCTCCTTGGATCGCGACGGGCAATTGCACTTCATATGAGCATTCGGTATAGCGTCTGACGTCGTCGCGATGGTGGACGATATTTGGTTTCCATTCCGACTGTGTGATTGCAGTCCATGTTCTGCACAGGAATGTTAGCAGTAGATGTTCCTACGAACAACATCGCAGAAGGAAAGTCGATACAGCATATGACCAACGTCGGATCCTTAGAACTCAACGATCCACTACAAAAAGATCGATCGAAATGCTCAGTTTTCGAAATTTTTGGATAGATAAATTGATAGAAGTATAAAGATTTTTTATATAATGCGCTTCACATTGAATGTAGTGCGACTCTCAAAAATGGACTCTTCACTTATGGTGCATGGTCTGCACCAAACGCTCTTCTCGTTTTTTAAAAGACAGTGTATGTCGTTATAAATTCAGAAACTGTTGGAATTGACGAAAATTTGTTGGAACAGAAGCAACCGGTGGGACTCGAAGCGCATCTACAGAATGCGGCTTGCAATCCTTCAAGGTGTGGTCCTACCAGGATTTGCTGTGTTCCATGAATGGAGTTCCATGAATGGAGTTTCATGAGTGGGATATTAAAAAGACGTATTTATGAGTAATCGTTGAACTACCAATTCATATTCCAAAGATTATGGGCGGAAGTGGTGTAGTGGCAAGTGGCACGCTTACCACGCGAGCGGTCCGGGGATCAAATCCTGGGTCGTGAGTCGCCCGGGCCAACCAAGCCTTCCATCCCTCCGGGGTCGGTTAATTGGTACCAGACTTGTCTGGGAGGATAAAAACACTGACTTGTACATCGGCTGGCCCCGCAAGTCATTGTATAGGCCACATCGCATTCAAACGCCACTACGAATGTACAAATGGAAGTAGAATGCGTGCCGCATCCAGTGGTAATAAACACCACGCGCACAGTTCTTGGATCAAATCCGGCGTGCGCCAGCCAAATTTCCATAGATGATTAGTTGTTGCTAAGAGTGATAGATGCACACAAATGCATCGATAACATAGAACATCTTAGAAAAATCGTTGTCTAAGGGTTAAGGCATGGCTTTGAAAGCAACATTTGATATTTTTCGACCAAAGCTTTGATTGGAGTAGGGTGTTTTACGGTACGTCTTTGGTAAAAACTGCACTGAATGATACTCACACATGTTTTTCTTTTATGTTATTTTTGTTGTTTTTTTTCAGTTTGCTTTTTTTTCTTGAATTTGGATAATGAGTAAGAAATTTTTGTCTAATGAGTAAGACGACTGAAAGAATGACAAGAACAAAAAATCCTATGACGATAAAGGTTGTTTGAGCTGCTCACAACGTTTATTTATAAACTTGGTTAGCTGACGTTTCGGCGATATCGCCTTCTTTAGAGCCCAAAGGAGGGACGCCAATGCATGAATAAACGACAAAATATCTCATCTCTCTTAGAGCTTCGACTAACTAATCCATCACCCAACCACCAGAGAATAGAAGTGCCTTTTCTATTCATTAAACCCCTAAATCAACCAGCGGTAGTCACGGTATCGGAAGCCTTCGAGAGCATCGCATTCAGAGTCTCGGCCAGAACGCCAGCCTCATTTACGGGGGTAACACTCACGTCATGGATAAGCATTGCTCACTTCGGTTCATTTTTGAATTCCTGACATGCATTCAAAGTGGTTCCACAGTTTTCCGCTCGAACACTTGTGTTTTTGCTCTGCGATCTCTTCCAAAGTTGACTCAGTGGTTTGGATGTTGTGATTTTGGACCTTGCGTGCGACAGCAACGATACACGCTACTTAACTTTGTCATCTAGATGCTCTCCTGATCCGCACATATGTAGTAGAGAGTCTTGAAGTTTCATCTATGAGCTCATTTCGAAAGACTGGCAGGGACGGTAGTAAAGTGCCATAGACTGGGAGTTAAAGGTGGTGAACTACGGCCGTAAACGGTGAATAATGAAAGGCGAGACAGCATGAATCGTCTAGCATCCTATGTTCTACTTTTTACACAGCATTGATTTAAGGAAGTGGTGTAGTGGCAAGTGGCACGCTTACCACGCGAGCGGTCCGGGGATCAAATCCTGGGTCGTGAGTCGCCCGGGCCAACCAAGCCTTCCATCCCTCCGGGGTCGGTTATTGGTACCAGACTTGTCTGGGAGGATAAAAACACTGACTTGTACATCGGCTGGCCCCCGCAAGTCATTGTATAGGCCACATCGCATTCAAACGCCACTACGAATGTACAAATGGAAGTAGAATGCGTGCCGCATCCCAAAAAGGGATTGATCAACGGCAAATGCTTTATCCTTTTATCCTTTTATTGTTTAATGTTTCCGCGAGTCATATGATGGCAAGATAAATCCTTATTTCATGCTAAGAACCTTTGATAGCGGACCCTGCGACTGCGCGGGACTAACGCTAGGGAGAAGAAGAAGCTAAGAGCCTTTGATTACGAAATCTGATTGCAAGTTAAGTGCGAGTGACAGAAATGAGCGATCCTGGCAAGACACTCATCTATTGATGTCAGCTCGCAGCAAACTGATGCTTGCAAGCCTCAGATCCAGAAATTTTCGATTCTAATGTGAATTTTACGTGTGCAGGTTTTTATATATCGCACATGCAATAGCCTTTTCAAAAGTTTACGGCTATCTCGAAGCAGACCTCGCGTCACGTTGGTCCATTTCCAGAAATTTCTAACGACCCCCTTTCTTCGAAAGTCAACAACACACCACGCCATGTTTCACGACTCCGCCTCCAAATCTACATATTTCAATCCTTCTGAAACTTCTGAAGATGGCTGGGAGGTGTGAAACTTCTGAAAGTGCTGGGGGCGGAGGGTGATGCAGCGGGTGGGGGGGAGAGTGCGTAGAGCGACGGATAAAATGAGCGAATTTCCGAAAGAAGTTTGTAGAAAGTGTGTCGCACTAACTACTAGTTACTCTTCAATGAACGCCGACACCCTAACAGGATCCTACTTCCTGTTCCAGAAATACGGTTCCATTTCTTTTCAGTATGACCCCTCTCCTGCAAATGCAGTCCTTCTTCCTATAGAGGGCATCACATTGCTTTGAAATCGCAAGTTCACGTGCGGAATAGCAATAGCAATTATTTCGCCATAAGAATGAGATCTGTTGATGGGCAATGAGAGAAGCGCTAGAACTTCAAAGATGCCAGGAGCTCTAGGAAGTCCAGCATACACCTCCCACCATTGTCAGTCATGATATAATATGACATCTCTCCTCCCCCCTCTTCACCTCAAAATTCACAACTCCCAAAGAGCCCCCAATTTTTTTCTAGATTTCTGAATTTTTATTCGGGTTTTGTTACGTTGGGTGGAGGGAGGGTGTGAGTTTACGTATAGTAAGGAAAAGGAAGAAAAATAAATTTAAATAATAATAAATAAATAGACGAGGCTTACTAGCAGTTATATCGTCGGCTATTCAGTTTTTCCTATGAGCCTTGACTTGCCAATTTGCAGCACTCCTCGACACATTGGACGAGGCTAAAACCAACAGAGCAGGGAGGTTCTACCTGTATGGGTCGAGAAAATGGTTTACTGAAATGGATCCGGCACTCGAAATCTATCACAACTGTAATCGCAAAAAGGTATTCACCCTTCAGATCAACTGGAGTTGGCTACGACCGCGGCAGGCGAGGATCTGCGCTCAGAGGCGGGTACATCAGCAACGACAGCAACAAAGCGAGCAATGGTAATAGGATAAGACACAAAGCGAACAGTCAGGGCAGGGTTTCAAGCTACTGTAGGTCTTTGGGCGGTCAAAACGGATGCCCCAGGCCCAACTAGGAAGTTATAGGGAAATGTCTGTTAAGTTCTCGGAAGCGCGAACCTCTAAAATGCGCTGGAAGGGGTCGAAGTCCTCTTGGAGGGGGCGGATCACCCATACCGAGGCGGATCGCTCAACATACGCTGTGCAGAGTCCGTGCTTGACTAGCGGTCGTTGCGGGACCGCCGCGCTGTATGAGGTCGATTCCATAAGAACGCAATTGAAGCGCTTCAATTTCGATTGCTGGCAAATAGTTATGTATTTGCAAGCATGCATGGCTATTTGCCAGCAGTTGCAATTGGAGCGCATGTACTACGGGCAGGTTCGGACAACTCGTCCAACACACGTCTCCCTAAACGGCAGGGGGAGTCCCTGTCTAAGCCCCTGCCCGACGTTTTTTTCTACTTTTTCTTTCTCCATTGACCAACTTCTCACCTGCAACGTCATTATAGGTGGTCCTTACCCGCGAATTCGTTCCTGGATTGTTGTGCTTTAAGAAAGCCTGGAATTCCTGAAATACGAAATGATTAGCATAATCATTTCCGAGCCCATAGTCCTTACCTTCTTTATCTCACCGGCGATAGCGCTGGACACATACGCTCCAAATTTTGCAGGGGTTGCGCGAGAAGTGAATATATGCCCTGCACCTTTGTGATTTTGGATTCTGTTTTTTTTTAAGCGCAACCGCAATTCGGCAACGTTTATGAAAATTTTCAGTTTGCAACTTTTTCGGAAGCAAGAAAGAGAGTCACTTGCTATGGCGCACATCATCAAATTTTCGTCGCACAGGATGCCGTTGTTGATGAATGTTTATATTCCTTAGGTGTCCCCCCAAAAGCAGAAGCAGGCCCTCCACTGCCCCACCGTCTTCAGAATATGACGTCATCTGCCGTAACCGTCGAGCTCAACAAGGCTTACCGTAATCGCTCCGGCCTGGAGCATTATTTATCATAGCATGTGCAAGACCGCCTTTGCCAGCGTTCCAGCGACGTCGTAATGGTCTGTGACGACCTCGTTGAGCTCGTACCGTGAACCATGTTTCCGTGGGAAAATCTTCTGATGTCGTCGGTGTAGAAGGCTGTTGTGTAGCTTTTTGATAGATTAGAATGTGCTCTTCAATATTCAGTTGGGCTCATTTGGTTTGGTTTCGCGACGCGTAATTAATTCCGTTTTGAATGTGGAGTGAAGTGACTCTTTTTTTGCCCCCCCCTGTATATGGGAGACCGACCCAATTATTTTCATGCATTGGGATGCAGCCCTGTACAGGACCCGCAAACACACTGATCCTTTTCTAGCACATTCGTGATCGATCATTGCACTACAACGAAAAGATATGTAGTTGCCGTCATTATCGTGCACGCATTGCTCTGCTTCTCTGTCAAAAGATCTAGAGTCTGACGTTGTGGGACCAGCTACTGAGGCAGTCCAATCAAAAGCGGGCAGAGGCACAAAGTCATTGAAGAGACGGATACATCCTTGCAAGGTCGTCGTTAGTTAAGCGGCCCGTTTCGCGCCTTCGGGGGTTTAGCCTCCTCTCATAGTAGACCGATTTTCTCCAACATACAATTAATCGTACCACCTGCCTTTAAGTAAACCTACTAAATGTGAGAAAAAAGCAACAAAATTTTCATTCTCTCCCACGTTTTATTGTTATGTTCACGAAGAGCTCTTCGCTTTCAGATGGACTTGAAAGCAGCGTGTGTAATTGTTATTTTGCTTCATATGCCGTATTGCTATGGATTCCTGAACTTTCTAATACCTGGGAAGGTGCAAACAATAATTGTGGTGGGAGAAGTTCTCTGTAACAATGAGCCGGCAGAGAACGTCACGGTTAGACTATATGACAAGTCTCTAGGTTTGTATTACAAGCATCGCATCTAGGGGTCGATAATGGAGTTGCGGCTGCCAATTTGACTCAAACTGGAATGAAGAAGCATCGAAAACTGTCGATGAAGCTCTAAGCAAGGATACCCCTTGAAACAGGGAAGGGGTGGAGCCGGACGAATGAGAGAACTTGCTTGCTCCAAGGCTACACTAGCCCGCGCGTATTTGAATTGGCCGCTACGTCGTAACCCAGGCTGCGTATGGCCGACGTCATACTTTGCGAATCGAGCGAATCGCTAGCGAATCGAACGATGCACCAGCGATTCGAACTAGGTACCAGCGAATCTTGCATAAAGCTTGAAACTAGGGTGTTAAAGCAACAGTCCAGGCAGGGTTTCAACCATTTGGTTTTCAAGTGGTGGAAACATGCCTCAGCCTGATTGGAGTTCATGGGAAATGTCACAAACTTCAAAACTTACCTCTGAAAGGCGTTGGAAGCAGTCGAAATCCTTCGAGAGGGGCGGATCCACCGATCCGTGGTGGGGCCGCCTCCAAGCAGCTGTGCAGAGCGCTTGCTCGACTAGCGGTCGTTGCGGGACCGCCGCGCTGTATGAGGTCGATTCCATAAGAACGCAATTGAAGCGCTTCAATTTCGATTGCTGGCAAATAGTTATGTATTTGCAAGCATGCATGGCTATTTGCCAGCAGTTGCAATTGGAGCGCATGTACTACGGGCAGGTTCGGACAACTCGTCCAACACACGTCTCCCTAAACGGCAGGGGGAGTCCCTGTCTAAGCCCCTGCCCGACGTTTTTTTCTACTTTTTCTTTCTCCATTGACCAACTTCTCACCTGCAACGTCATTATAGGTGGTCCTTACCCGCGAATTCGTTCCTGGATTGTTGCTTTAAGAAGATGCGCAGTTTCCAACACTGTTTTGAATCACTAAAAATGTTGAGTTTGACCTGACCAGGAACGGATGGTTGGTCGAAGTGGCCATATGTAAAGAGACCTACACCGTGGATGCGTTTTTGGACGCTGATCTCGAATCTGCTTTCCAAATCTGCCAAACGATTTTCCGAATGGAGTTATGAAGGAAAGTAGTGCAGCGGTAGTAGTCCGGGTTCACGTGCGAGACGTCGTAGGATCGATTCCCTGGCGGGTTCTCTTTTTTGCCTTCGCTGCAAAATGATGAAAAGGCTCCCAACTACCTTACTCGATCAATGCTTGCCTGTAGTTACCCGTGCAAAGACTTTGCGAGGAGTTTCTAATCAGTTTCGGCGGTACTTACTAAAGACTGCACATGGAGCCCACAGAACTCTTGGCAGACGTTTTTGCAGCAAACAAGTGTGATATTCGTGTTCCGGAGATTAAAAATACCCCTAGGGACAAGTTTGTAGCCAAATTTGAGATTTCGACCAAATTTCGAAATAAGCTGGGTGGGTATCTATCCATTCATCCATCAGCCTATCATCGAAGCCTATGTAGCCTTGAGACGATATAAGTTTCTTTTTTGGTTCCTGAAGAGTGTAAAGCAGTGTCTGGTTTTCTGTTCGCATGATTTCAACACCCACATTTTATTATTTTTCAAATTTAAAGGGTCGCCGTCGTCCAAAATAGGTCAACCCTGGAACTACCGGCTATGGATATGTAGCATCAATGAGTGACTCGCCCACTTTTTTTGAAGTTAATTCAAAATCTCGAATTTTTCTAGAAATTGCCCCAGGAGTTATTGGACTTACTGAACACAGATCTCACATTCGTTCACTCAAAAACGGCTGAAGCGCGCGCTCCGTATACTGGCGCGCCTTAACCTTATGTAGTGGCATGCAAGTTAGGAAAAATTTCGAAGTTATCGACCTCAAACTCATCCAAAAGCAAGTAGGGCTGACCAATGATGAAGGAATCACGTTTCACTACTGCCAAATAGGCAATCACAAAAATGCAAAAGCGAGAACACTTGCCGGATCCGAACCACTGACCCCGAAATCCCAAGCCCACCAGGCCACCAGCACACGATCGTAGAGGCTCACTGCTTCGTTCACGAGCCGCTGCTGCTGAGGCCGATTTCTCACTGTGTTAAACTGTGTGAGGGAACAAAAAACCTCCGTAACTCCGTTCAGCGAATCGTTTGGCAGATTTGGGAAGAAGATTCGAGATCAGCGTCCGAAACCACATACCATGATACTTGTCTCATTTCATATGGCCACTTCGACCCTTCATCCTTCCCTAGTGAGATATATTGCTTTGAAAACGGAGGTCAAAAACCTGCATTAGTTTGCGGACATTCTAATATATCATTATATATCAAATTCTATCATCCATCATCTGTGTCTACGCCCCACCCTCTATAAAATGTGTAAGAACTAACGCGCCATTACAGGGACGTGCGCTACGAAGATCCGGTCAAACACACATACACACATCACCATTCCCACTTAGCCAATCATAAATAGTATTAGTAAATAGTAGGATTCCAACAAAATTCCTCAACACGTCGACGACAGCGTGACGCGGTAACGCGTCCCACTTTGCACACCTCGTGGGACATTGTGACGCGGTAACGCGTCCCACCCAAGCATCATCCCTTTTTCTTGCGCTTGTGCGACTTATTCCTAAGGTCTTTGTACTCATTCTATAGGCCATACATTAGCATACTTAAAACCACATGGCTCACAGAAAGGCCAAATATTCTTTAGTTTGGCAGAGTTTTCCAGACCTTACGGATATGTCTGTTCAGTTCATTCCTCGTTTTCTTTTCAATAACGTAAACATGTTGATAAAAAGGAATAACAGAAGCGAATACAAACCTATTCGTATGGAAAAGATATGTGTTTTTACTGAAACAACCACGTCTAAATTAATTTTGGAACCACTAAAGGGGAAAGTAAGTGAAATTTGCCTCTTTCATGGCCTTAACACGTCATTTCGGTCGAACTTCCATTACTGTAACTCCCGTTGAGTTAGACACACGAATATCATTGAAAACACTTGATCGATCTGAGTGTTGCGTATTTACAGCATAAACATTCAGTGGAATTCTGCGGTGATGTGCGGGGCGCGGCGGCCTTCAAATGCTCCGGTCCAAGCAGGGTCAACCCTACGTTGTTACGAGTACAACGGGGGGGGGGTCGTACCTGGTTGAGTTTGTAGGAGGGGGGGTCGTACCCACTTTAGTCGCTCGAAATCACGTGTGGGATTGAGGTGAAACTAAGATTTCGTGGGTAGTAGGCTGGGCGAGTGGAGGGCGCGCAGGATAAAAATTTGCCGTTTATAAAATGGTGGAAGCAAAAGGAAATTTTCGGAGATATTTACCGTTTCAGAGTGGACGACGGATTTTTGGAGGAAAAAGTGGGCGGAGTTTGGTGGGTTGAGTGGTACCAGAATTAAATACTATAGAGAGGAATATGGTGGTCGAGGGTCGAAAAGGGGGTCGTACCAAGTCCACCTTGGGGGAGGGGGTCGTAAAAATTTTCAGAAAAGTAACAACGATAGGACCGACCCTGGTCCCAAGTGGCGCAAAAACCCAAAACGCGCGAATTCGTCATCGCGAAGTGTTAATTGAGATTCTCCTTGAAATTCAAGCAAGAAATCAGGAACAAGTTGTTTTCAGGTCGGGGATAATGAATATGTTAAGCGAGTCTGGTGCCAGAATTTATTATGCACTCTTTATTATTCAGCAATTGCCTGCAACATTCCTCAGCCTAAAAACGACATTTACAGCTTATAAGGGCCCCACAGTATTCTCCACTACCTTGCCACTCTTTCTTCAATTTATCACCTTACTCACATGAACTGAAAAGCTAAATTTCAGGCTTACTTCTAGCCTATTCGAACACATTCGATCGACCTCTACACAAGGTAAACGGGAGATTAAGTGGTAAATAAACAATGACAAGATCCCTTTTGTCTGAAATCCTTACACCGCGTTGTGCTTACCAGCCGCATCACTATTTCGATATATCCCTTTTGTTCACACAGCTTACCGGACTGTGGGACAATTCTCTCTCTTCAGTTTACAGGAGAGGGTGGGCGAGGGGGGGAGTGTTTAGAAGCTTCGAGATTTTTTTAGAAATTTGGGATAAAAATCACGCGGATTAGGAGCTGTGAAGAACACTTCCAGGTTTCGATTGAACGGTTAGCTTTCCGGAATTCATTGTGTGATTTTCCATCGCTTACTCTCAATTGGTTTGTATTTCAGCCGTGCTACAAGAAACTAAGTCTCACTATTCCCGACAAATTCATAACACGAGGACGTTATCCACAAAAAACCTACGACATTGGAACTTTGAATCTTGCCAGCAAATTCAAGGGCCAAACGACAGATTGCCTCAACTAAGCAACTCCAGGAACGATTTGCTTATTCGACATTATTGGTCATCATCAATAAAGCTTCTCCTACTAGAAGAAACTAGCATTTGTAACAAAGTGGCTCATTTCCAGTAACCTCATACTGTTTTACCCAACTTGAAGCAACAACCCAGATCAAATTGGTGAGTTAATAGCGGTCAAAATGTGGATGCCGAACTGACTGAAAATGAAAAACGAATCGAAGCGAACGGCCGATGAAGCCATTGACAGGTAGCCACTCTCTCTCTCTCTTGAATAAGGAAGGGCGGAGCTGGACGAGTTGTACGAACTGTTCGCTACAAGGCTACACTAACCCGCGCGTACTTGAATCAGCCGCTACGGCGTAACATGTCGCCGTTTACGTTGCGTGAGATGGGGTGTGCACCAAGTATCTCGTCCGTAAGTTCACATAAGTCGTCATCAGACCACTTTGTAAGACCTGATGCCATTGTCGCGCACTTCAGTTAGAGCCTCGATAACGGCACATGGGCTACTCTATCCCACCCGCAGAATAGATTCGTCGACACGAGCTCATCTGTGGTTTGAGTATGCTGGGTAAATTTCATTTCCTGTACGCCTACCACTCACCACTCCCACCAGTCTGGTTCTGTCTGTTTACGACCCTTGCGTTCAGTGCTCTATTCCGACTTCTCTTACTTATACCTGGTAACTAACCACCTTCTACCTCACAAGTTCATCAAACGGTGTGAGGATGGAGAATGTGTATGAATATAGCTTAGAAATATTCCCGAACACTTCCAAGGGTCCTTAAGATCAAATTCCTCCCTTTGAAGCAATCTCCTTCCCACA